GGAGGGAATAGAGGGAATGCTGGGGGGGGGCAGGGGAACAGCAAGTGCGCCAGGGACACCGCGGGTAGGAAAGCTGAACGTTTTATTGTCGTTGGTGAACACAGCGTGTGAGCGTTAGAAACACAGACCCTGCCCGCCAGGTGCCTTCCAGCTGGGAATACCCACGCTGCACATCCCACAACTATTCCCTCGTCTGAGCTGCACCAGGTTCTCCCGAGATGCCTTTATTCCCAGCACACACAAGAGAACCAAGCCAAGAGTCCGTGATCCTTTTCTACCCGCTCACCCCGGAACGGTCTGGGAGCTTCTTCCAGTTCAGCACCCGCTGGTACTTCCGTGACAGCATCTAAGAGCTAACGGGTACTCTGCAAGCACTAGTGCTTATGAACAGGTTATGTTGACACAGAACCCAGAGAGGCCTCCAGAAACATTCAAGGTTAAAATGAACAGTTAAACAGTTGGAAAAAAAAATCTGTACATATTTTCAGTCGGAACACAAAGCAACACTGGAGCATCAGTGCTGTGTGTTCTAGCTTCTATAGGGACAGCTGCTTTAGGCTCAAGTATTCCACGTTTCTCTCTTCCCCCCGTGTAAATGTTATAGTTGCAATCTGAATACACAGCTGTACTTAGAGGAAACATTCAGCAATGCACGGCGCCTTAGGCAAGTTCCAGGTCTGGTTTTGAACAAACCATATAAAGTAAGTGACAAAATACTTTAATATTGGTCCTTGGTTAGGATTACTTGTTTTTATACAGCTTGGAAGCACTAAATTTAAAGACACACATTTATTAACCAGCACAAATTATTCTGTAGCTTTTTTTTTTCCTCCTTTTTTTTTTTTTTTGTGTTACAGTATCATGCATGAAAAGCAAGCTGCTGCTCCCAAGTGCAAAGATGGAGTTTAAACTCCAAATGCTTCCTCCTCAGGTTGTTATTCCTTCTTTCACAGATTATTTCAACATAACCATGAATAGATGCAGCTGACTAGCAAAAAATTATGAAGTTCACCTTTTACACTGTGACCCATTCTTAAAGTAATGGAGTACTTTGGACCTTTAGCATAAGGAAGTTTCAATAAACACTGTGAAATATTTTTACATTCTTTGATTTCATTTACATCTTTAGAAAGGAAATTCTATATTTTAACTTGCTAACTAATGAATCACCTTCTGGAGACTGTAGTACTGAAACAGTGCAAGACATTTGCAGCTTCAGGAACATACAATTACACTGTCCTTTCACCCAAACAATGATTATTAGAATATTGCATCAGTCCTAGAAAACGAGACAGGACAAAGAGCTCATTTGAGAAGAACATCAGGATTCAAAAACCTTTTCTATTTAGTGAAACGAATCCACAGACAAATATGCACGAAGAACTCCATAACATGGACTTTATCACAACAAATGTAATCCAGCTGAAAGTCTTGGAACTAGACTTTTAATTGGTATGTAGCCATATTTGTTCAGAGACCACAACTAGAAGCTTCAACATCTGGGTTTTGGTTGTGGTTTTTTTTTGCCACATGAACAGCATCTGAGCTCTCTGCTGTCAACCCAGAGACCAGAAATTCAGCTGAAACAGCCCAGGTGGACTATGAGCTCAAGCAGTCCACTTATGCCTTAAAACAGACACCAAAGAGCTGGCTTTCATCTTTGCATTACCTCAGCAG